TGTCAATAAACTAATTAATATTGTATATCTAATAAAGCACTCATCGTGGTTTATTTAAGGAATTTTTTATTTTATGAAAAATAAAAACATTATATATTAGTATATTAGTATATAGTGTTGCGAAATAAAGAAGATGTTCCACTCACGGTTTTGCTCGGATTTATATTGAGTGGATAATTTTTTTGGTAATCTTTCTGATTATTTTTTGTTGTTTTTTCTTTTCAGCATCTCCTTATTAAGAGCATTTGTTATTGAAAACATTATTAAAAAATATATTTCTTTTTTATTTTTGATTATCTTTTTAAAATTATGAATTACTTAATAATATTTTGATAATTTGATTTTTTTCTAAGAATTAATGATTCTTTTGTTAGAAATTAATTATTTACTTTTTATTATTTTCTACTAATTTAATAATTGAGATTGTTACAGGTATGAATTGAAGAAAATGAATAGACTAAAAGAAGTATACATTTGCTGGATACTATTATTTATTATTAAGTTTTTCATTTCTGTTGTTTAATCTGTTTCAGGATCCTCCAGTTTTCAATGGAATAGAAAAAAAAAAGCATTTTATTATTTTTCCATCATCAGATAAATATTTAAATTTTTTTATATTAGGTAAAATTAGAGAAATATTTAATTTTTTTATAGGAAAATTTGTAACCGATACATTTAATGTTTTGATCTTCCTCCTAATAAAAGGCATCCTCGTCTTTTCTATTTTGATTCAAAATTTCCCAAAACTTATATTCCTATTTTTCAAGACAATATGATCATGAATCGTTTCTCATCTCTAACTTCTTCATTCTAAGTTATTATATCTTTAATATTTGAGCTACTTTTTCTTGAATATTTGAGTGACTTTTCACTAGCCATTGTATATCCTCATTTTCTGGCCACATGTCGTATCTATAAATTCTTCTATAAAATTGTGTGTATGTATAGGGTTATGAAAAGAATTTTTTAGATTATCGATATTTTTTTAGACAGGCAAGGTTTATAAACAAGGTATTTAATTTTTATGTAGATAGAGATGAGAAAAGAGCTTTTAGAATAGGAGCTTTTAGAATAGGAGCTTTTAGAATAGAAGTTTTTAGAATAGGAGTTTTATAAAGCTTATATATTTTAAAATGTGTTGATGTTGCATTTAAGATTCTGTTCTGTGATTTTTTACAAGAACTAAAAATGACGTCATAAAAATATATTATAAATGCATGCATAATAAAAGATGTTTAAATGATAAGGGTTAATGAATTAATGCATGATAAGGGTTGCATGTTAATGGATAAAATAATGCTTTGTAGTGCTTTGCTGTGCTTGTTTTGCTTATTATTTTTTTTTTTTAACGCTTTTAATTATCAATTATTTTTTATTTTCATGATAATGGAAATATAAAATATTGATGAATTATTTTTTAATTTATATTTTAAGTTTAGTCTTCCGCGCCGGTTTTTTTAACAGTTTCTTTTGTTGCTTGTGTTGCACGACGAACAAAAAATTGAACGTTTTGCAAACATGTATCAAAAGGAAAATTTATTTGAGAATAAATAAATTTTTACTAAATGGAGGGTGGATGGGACGTCGTGGTTAGGGTGGGTCTCCAATTCGCAGCAACCTCCAAGCGGTGGGACCCGGGAAATCATTATTATTTATTATACAATATATAATCGTATCGTTATATAGCTATAATGATTCAATTGTATATTTTGTAAAAAATAATGTGAGCTAATTGGCTGCGAGCGCGGTTATATTTTTCGTGGATACAGAATTTATTAGATTGATGGATAATATTTTCCGTTTAGTTTCTAAAATAATGAAGTATAGATTTATAGTAAGGATAGATTTTTATTTCATATTTTTTGATTTAATTAATTTAATTTTTTGATTTTTTTTAATTTAATTTTGTGTATGTAAGTACTTATATTATAGATGGCGTATGAAACATCTTAAGATCTTTGTGAAGTTGGTATTTCAGAACATGAATGATACAAAGTCACGTCTATTTGTTTCTCTTTTATGAATAGAATAAGAATTGATTCTCGATGCCATCTCTTGAAGATTTTTAAAAAAATATTTTTGGTATTTCAGATTGTTATTTTATCTTACCTCGTTTTTGAAGAGATATCTTTGACACTCTATAGATGGTGTTAGTTCCTTTATTTTTATTCTATTTGTCTTTTTCTAATTATTTGTTATTCTTGTCTGTATTTGTTTCATCTGAGGCTCTGAGATGGCGCTAGTTCCTCTATTTTTTATTCTATTTGTCTTTAATTATTTGCTCTTGTCTATATTTGTTTCTATAATTCTGTTTCTAATTCTATTGTATCTATAATTCTAAAGATGGCGTTGATTTCATAATTTTTAACCATTTCCGTCTTTTTTTCACTATTTATTTTCTTTGTTATTCTTGTTTTTGGCACTTAATCATAGACGAGCTATCATTTGAATAGACTTTCATAATTTCTTTGTTGAATAGATTGTGTTTTAATATTAGAAATATAAATATTATATTTTTGATTTTGGTATAAAAATATATCTTCAGGATAATAATCTTATAAAATAGAATAATATGATATATAATGCGAGTATTTAATGCAAAATACAGAATAACAATAAAATTTAAACAAAAAATACTTTATTTTATAATGGTGAAAGTAGAGAATAATTTTTAAACATTCTATCGAAAAACGGCGCTATCTAATATTTACTTGTCAAATTTATTCTTTTGCTATTTATAATCTTGTAAAAACATTTTCAAAACATGGAAATCCAAACATCAATAATGCAATTTTGTTCTATGCTGCATCGGTAATATCGAAAATGACTTTAAAATGATAAGAAAATTCTGATGATGACAAAAAAATACATTGGATATTTTTCTTTTTATTAGATCTATTTTGTATCTCGTCTATGGTTAAACTTTTGTTATGATAAAACAAATTATAATATATTGCTATTTATGGTAGTGTATATATTAAATTAAATCCTCAAATATTGAGATGAACGGATCTTGGAAGATATTCATATTTATGATAAAATTTTATTTCTCTTATTCATTTGTATATACACGATCGTATTATTGATATTATCTTAATTATCGAGAGGTTTCGCTATTAAATGTAAGATGGCGGCAGCTACGGCTGCGGCGCAACGAGTCGGCGATCGACACGGTTGTGCCATCCATGATGGCTGAGACAGTTTCCGAGATTTCGAGCACGGTGTCGTGAGTACGCGTTCCCTTTATCGCACGTTTAATTGCTAGTGAAGCTCATCTCCAGAACAAAAGGATCCCGGAAAGAATGACAGACAGTCCAGCGGCACTCGTAAGTGTTGTCACTGTCTATTAAATTTTCTAGAGAGAGGTATTCGGGAGCCTCGATGTTCGTTAGGTTACTTATCGAGGAACATGCGCGCATCTAGGGCTTCTTCGCTTTTATATGTCATTGATTGAACGATGATTGAGTTCATTATTACATAATATTTCGCCTCTTTCTCGACTCGAGCAATCGGTAGGAGTCTCTGAAAGAACTGATCGCGATGGGGACATGTAGTTTACCTCCGATGTGGTATAACGCGCAAACGCAGAGCAGAGGTTCGTTGCCCGTTCGCGGTTGACGTCACTGGCCAGATAGTGGTTGTCACCTGTTTCTATCCACAGTGACGTCACGAGTAGTCGTGACGTAACAGCGAAGATCGTTCTCTCGGTCATACCGAGAATATATATTCCTACGTATATGATATGTTAAATAACTTACACCGACGCATGAATAATGTCTTCTATGTCTATATTTATGTGCTTCTTATAATAATGTTCAAATTGATATTTGTAATTCGAGGTGTGAATGTTCGCCTTTCATATTGATTTCATGTTTAAATACTTGTTATTGTTATAATTGAATGAAAATTTTAATTGTTAGTCTATTGCTATTGATATTTTCGTTATTTGTTATTTTTATATTCGTTTTATTTAGAATATTAACATTTTTTAACATGTACTTTAAAATCAAATAATTTATATTAAACAATATTTACATACTTTATCTATATATTTGTTCAACGATAATGTTTTAAATAAATAGAAATCATGAAACGAAAGAGAAAGGCGAATAACTCGAATTACAATCAGATAAATCAAATTCTATTTGTATTTATGACATTTATATGTGTAATAAGAATTGCGTATAGAGCGTTCTTTAAAGCGATCTCACTTGCACTTATTGTGATCGAAAAGACAGTCTTGAATGATTACAATTTATCACTCTAGTTACAATCAAATGATCATCCATAATGGAATCTATGCGATGATTATTCCAATATTTTCAAATCTTTATTTAACAATAAAACTGGATAATGGCCACGATTATTGGTGTCGGTCAACACGAGAAAACAGACAAATAAGCAAACAGGCACGCAAGTAAATGATTAATTCATAAAGATAGTCTCTTTTCGTCTGTTCGAAATATCAATTCATATATAGGAAATTTGGATTTCGACTTCATATTTATTTTTTCATTTGATATTTTATACCAAAGAAGATATTAATGCGAATTTTTTTCTTTTTATATCTTATATTTTTTTAAAGATATAGTTACTAGATATTCTTAGTAAAATTAAAATTGAGACAAACATATTTCATTCATACGGAGAATATATTTAATTGTATATATATCGTCAACATAATAATTATTTTATCAGTATTATTTTTTTCATTATATTTCGTATAAATGATGTTCTCTTTTGAAAGATTCATTCAACGTGGCGGTAGTAGTTAAAAGTAAAAGCGGAAATGGGGTTGGTAAGGCCGACAGGGATGTAACCAAGTTAGAATGCTTTTATCGCCGAATTAAATGGCCAGGAAAAGCCGGAAGTGCGAATGCCGTTTCAGCGGAGTATTTAATTTTGTATACAGTTCGCACTATTTATTCTACTCCATCGCGCGCATCAGACTAGCTCGAAAAGTATCGCAACGTATATCCCTCTAGCCCTTAGATTCTGGTTTTAATTTTGAATGTTTCGCCTCTCCTTCTATTCCTGTTATCCATCAACGCGATAAACTTTCAAACTATGCGTGAGTTAGTTACAAAGTAAAATTACAAAGTATAGTGAGCAAAAGTAATCTCTTATCCCCGATTGTTCACGATTGAATAGTTCAATCGTGATTATTAGTTCAATCGTGTAGTAATTACAACGGATTATTATTTATTTTTCATGGGTGATAATACAAATATATTTATTATATGTTCTATTTCAATTTAAATCAATCAAAACCGATATGTAATTTCCTCTTGAAATAACTTTGAAACATGACGCGAGAAAAATAAAAATAACGAGAAGGAAAACGAAATGGAATATATTTGTATCTAATTGTTTTTTTTTTTTTTTTTTTTTTTTTTGATAGAAATATCGAAAACGTGATCTAATATCTTTTATTTCGGCATGAGGAGAAACCGTTTCAATCTTGTGGCGAGATAGAATCATGTGCGTTGCATTGAATGGCTGTAATTGTGCAGCTGCAGTTCAGTAACGATTATTGGTGTAGGTACATGTATACCAATAATGTTAACGAGACACCTCGTATATCGTAATTTCCCTCTATTACGATTGTTCCACGATCTTCTCTCGTTTCCCTTTTCTTTCTTTTCTTTTTGTTTTTTTTCACGTGTTAGCTACTATAGATATTGTTCTTCTTAATTAAAATATCCTGTTTAGTACTTTTTTTATTTCTCGATTCGATATTGAAATATTTGCAATATTTTAATTTTTTAAATTAAGTAAGAAAACTAGTGTATTTTGTAGGGATCTAGAATAGGGTCTAATTTATTTTTATTAACAAGGATATAATAACAAGGATAGGGTCTAATTTATTTTTATTAACAAGGATGATATAAATTTAGTTTTTAGTACATTCAATACGTTTCGAAATGTTAAATAGAATATTTTAATTGTAAAATAGAATATAAATTTTTCCAACTAATTATTTTCTTAATTTTTCTGGATATGTAGATATTCGAAGAAATGATTTCTTTTTAATGAAATAAAATGTGTTATTAATAGAAAATTCGTTTTACTTTTTAAAAACTTAAAATAGTAAGCAATATCAATAAAAATTAAAATCAAATAAAAATTTATATATATATATTTTTATATATATAATATTGTTTATTTTTATTTTTTTATTTTTTTAAGTTATTTAAAATTTTTTTTCTTTGACTTAAACAAATTTTGAATAATAAAGAATGTAATAAAAATTATATAACCATATAAAACTATAAAAAAAGTTATTACAAAAGACTGTAAACTTTCTTTATAAAATTATTAAAAATATAATATCAGATTATTATAAATATAAAATCGAATTTTATTAATAACACAATTTTTTTTTATATAAAGAATATACATACATTATATTTTATTTAAATTTCAAGTTTCATATGCTTCTAGACAATAATTATAATATCAAATCTTAGATTCGAAACGAATTCATGTGCACAATAATAATTATTTTGAAGAAATCTAAATATTGTAAGAATTTGCTACCTACGCATTCTAATTTTTCAAACTTTTATAAATATTCGTATCGAAGAAATATCTCGGGAAAAAAAAAAATTTTTAAAATCGTGAAAGATAGATTTCGAAGCGAACAAAATTCGGTAGCAAAAGATGAAAGAAACGAATAACAGATTCGAAAAAGAAATTTTCCACGAAGTAGGTAACACTATACTGACCCTCATGATTATCGATTTGTCTCAAAGAATTTTTACCGGCGTGATGAGGGGTTAGTTAAGCAACGAGCAACGCGTAACGCGTTTGACCATCGATGGTGGTCGAGCAGCGTGTTCTGGCAAAATTACGGTTGACTTCCCATTGTTTGGACACCAGAAATTTATGATTACGAGCTGCGCTCGCGGTCATATTCCAATTCACATGCCGAGATATTGATCTTAATTTGAATCTACTGGGCGGCGCCTTAATTCAGATCAATTGGACCACCAATTAATTCGAGAGTAACGATCAATCGCCTGTCATGGGAATAATTAGGAATCACCATTATCGATTGATGAGAAAAGGCAAAAAAATAAAAAGATAAACAATTATCTATCGATTATATATATATATATACCATGCGTGGGATAAACTTTTCTAAGTTAGATATGATGAAAAGAATAATAATAGAATTTCGTTATGATTATATGTGTAGTAAAATGCAGGTAGAAATTATTCATCGATGATTCATGTTACAATTTAAGTTAGAGAAAAATGTAGATGAGATTGAGATAAAGATTTTTATTGGAATTTTTTTCATTTGGAAATAAGAAAAGATTATTATGTAAGAAATGAAACGTAATACTAAATTGTCTTTTTTTTTTGAGATTGAAAAAAAGGATGACATAAAAACGTAGGAAAGATGTAACCGACTGACGGGCTTTGTCAATATATCTGTCATTAAACAATATATCTTATTAAATTTCTATGTAATTGCATACTTTTAAAAACGATATTGTAGAATTTGAGAGATTTGTTTCATTTTGTTCAAAATTAAGAAAAAAATTATTCGATTAATGTACTTAGATACACACATAGACAAAGAATCAAAGAAAGATTCAAGGATCGTGATTTTCTGTATAAATTAAAATCATTACGATATTTTGTTACTTTATTTCTACAAAGTTTTCAAGTACATACAGCACATTTAATATGTGACAATATTATTTCGATCGAAAGAACTGCAGAGATATTGTAAATTCTTTAAAGTATTAGGAAGATTCTTGATGCAATAGTCGAGCGAAGGATCTTTAGCAACGAGTGTTTCTTTTTTAATAGATTCCGAAATATATGAGATTATCTGAATCACGTGTTACGAATATCTAGTTTCTGGCGAGCGACGATTATTTACGACGTTATAATTTTCAACCTGGCGTGGGATTCTAATCTATTGCTTTGCAAATAGGCCGCAAAATTCGAACGGTCTCTCGGTTAGCAACTGACCAAGAAATTACATTTTCCTCGAGGGGGAACTTATTTATCGGTTCCCTGATTGTTTGAAGAGAAAAGACAGCTGCGTGAAATTTCTTGTCCCAGTCCATTGAATCACGGATCAATTACATTTTTATAAATATTTCTTTTATCTTTCTCTCTCCCCGTGAGAAAACTTATGGAGAAATAATTTTGCGCACAAAATTTCTCTCTTCGTTCTTTATTCGACGATATCGCGTTGTATATTTTTGAAGTATTTGCGTTACATCTTTATTTATAAAAATCTCTTTTAGTCTACTCGATGTATAATACTTTTTTTAACGCAGTGCTTGCAGAAATTTCCTGATCA